TTGGAATTGGTCAGAACTGGTCAAGAATTGGTTGGAATTGGAATTGGTTTGAATTGGTTGAAACTGATATGGAATTGGCTCAAAATGACTAAAAAACCGTAGGAAATTTCATGTCATTCACTGAAACTGATCGGAGCTAAGACTAGATTAGTACGGATCACTATAAATTACTGTCTATTCCAAGTCAATTATAGAAAAATTTTCATAATACTGGCTGAATCAGATCCATTTCCAGTAATTTACGTGATCCGTAATAATCTAGTCTTAGCTCCGATCAGTTTCAGCGAATGACATGAAAGTTCCTACGATTTCTAGTCATTTTGAGTCAATTTCATATCAGTTTCAACCAATTCTAACCAATTCCAATTCCAACCAATTCTTGACCAATTCCAACCAATTCTGACCAATTCCAATTCCAATCCTAACCAATTCCAACCAATTCTAAAATTGGAACCGAACCGAATTGGAATTGGTGCATGCCTATTTTTAAAGCATATTTGAAAGATATTCAGATCGTTTGTAACTTCAATATATCTTTATTAATTCACTTAGTATATTTTTAAAAACTATCCTATATAAATTTGCTTGAGTAAGATATTATTTCTTTCAATAAGTAGAACTTTGCGCAATATTTAAATTATATGAGTGAAAGTCATGTGCTAATACGAAGATCAGAACATCGAAAGAATATGTAATAAAAGTTTATGATATTTGATTGTGAATTTTCACATTGTGATTACAACTTTTCGATGATGTTTGACACTCGAATCATATGGTAAACTATAGGTTCTATAATATCACCGAGCATGACGTTATTGTATCAAAATCTTCGATTATTAGTTTTGATTAGGTTAGTATAGGATCTTGAAAATGGACAGGTGTGAGTGATAGATAGATAAATTACCCGTATTTACACAAACTCACACTCACACCCAAGTCCATCACTCTTTCATAGGTATATTCTTTACTGATAGGCAATTCTTTTAAAGATTCAATAACATAGTTCATATTTCACTTTGAAAACTCTATGATTTCATTGATTTCACTCGTATAATTATACGTCTTCTTCCAATAGATAAATCCTGCAAACATTAAAAAGTCTAAAAACGTCGGAAATTGACTTGAACTCGGGTCAATAGATGATATGGATTTAAAAAATCTTTGTTTTTCAATTGTACTTATAATTAATCTTTAATTTTTCTATCTGTATGTAAAACAGACAAAATCTAACGATTAACAGAATATGTAGAATATTATTGTCGTTTATTTTTACATTTGTTGTTAATTCAAAAAAATCAAGATTTATTTTTCTTGATTAAATAATGAGAAGAAAAATATTGTTCAATAATTAAAAGGGAAATAGATTATTTAATATAAAATGTTGCAATAGCACCAGCGAAATTAAAAACTAGTGCAATAATAGCTAAAATACACATGAAACACCCATCTTTCCACCAAAATCAATGCCTTCCAAAACCACACTAATCCCAATAGCAACACCAATAATTCTACAAATAAGAGCTGCGATGGCAAGACCTTTTGCTAATGAAGAAATGTTCTCTAAATTTTCATTAATACATAAAATCGTTATAATCGATGCAACAGATAATGATGAATAAATACAACAAAGGGTTATAAATGCACGCGTTGATATTGTTTTATAATCCGATTTTAATGGTATATTTATACAAAGTTTCGTACTTCCTTCCGATTCGCATGCTTTCCATAGTCCAACTGTGTATGAATATGATTCATCAGATACCGTTACCCTAAGCAAATAGACAAAAAATGGTTTAATGATTCTCTGTAAAGTAAATACTTTAATTTTAACTTTAAGATATATTTTTATCGAAAATCAAACTGAATTTTTCTCTTACGAAATATTTAAATATATTATCTCAAGATTTACAAACCATATTGGTAAAGCATTTGCCGTGATGTATAAGACAGCGGTGATAACTAATAAACCAGTTGCAGTATATAATAGTGGTCGATTTTGAAGAGCCATTGAGTTGATTTGTTTGAATGAGAATTTCTCTTTATTCAAATGAATAAAATAAGACTCACTTAGCAAATAATGATCTTGATACAGTCTTTTTTTTATTCATTATTAACTCTCTTTTCTTTACTTTTCTTGTTTTAATCTAATATAAAATATTGACAATTTATGCTTTTTATCTATTTACAATAAAATTATTTCCTCTTTGTTAAAAACTAACAAATAATCTCCATATGTCATTCATTATTTTCGTGTAAATCTTTATTTTCTTTTATAAACTACAATCAAAACACGAATAAAAATTTTATTTTTAACATCCATAATAACGTCGAATTTCTAAAATATCGGTTGAACTAAGTTTTTCTCTTTGACCAATAACTACGTTATTTTGAATTGGTGTAATTGTTGGTTTACCATTGATGGAAAAAGAATTTCGGTCATAATGCATCAAACTTCCATAATCGTAGCTAGTATCGTGATATCCTACATCAACTCCCCATGCATGTTTTTCAAAATTATGTATCTTAAAAAAAAACATGTATAAAATCAATCTTAAGAAAATAAAACTAATTATTTACTTGTCCAGGATTAATATTTGCATGATTTACTGTTATAAATGAATCACGATCGGGTCGTGACTGTTCATGGAAAAAACCTAAGAAAATAAGATACATTTAATTTTTATAAAAGCAAAAATATTACCAAGAACATGAGTAAGTTCATGTTGAATAATACCATTATGAAAACATCCACTTTGTTGTAAATTAAGTGTTTTTTGATAATTTGTACTATATCCAATCTGAATAAAATAAGAATGTATTAAAAATTCCTCTTGTATTTTACGACTTACGGATGCACTACATCCATTACCATATAGAATTTTAAGTACTTCTTTATCAGTAGCTTCAGCTGGTCGAAAAAAAACGCA